CCCAAGTTGGTAGGTAGCATGTTTACTAGAGATCTTTACCTTCCTAAACAACCTGTCTTTCTGGATTCTTGGCTACGAACGCCTGGCTTGGAAACTACTTTCCACGGGAAAGTCCAGACTCGCAGCAACAGGGCCACGACCTGGGGCTCACGCACTGCACTGGGCTTGCTTTGCTAAGGCAAGAAACTGACCTCATCTGGGATAGTCCATCCCTGGTGACCCGAAACAGGAGCTAGAAAGCTTTTGGGGAGCGTAGAAAGTCCCAAGTTCAATCACCACGTCTCTCTCTACCCTGAGGGCTATGGTGTGGAGATCATGAAAAGATGGAATTTTCCTGACATTTCAGTTTTGTTGGGATGAATATTAAATTAGGAACATGCACCTTCTCATCTTCATTTGATAGCAGGAATGACCTGGCTTTTTGTTTCTACAAATCTGCTTCCAAAAAGGAAAGCAAATGAATTTTTTCTTTTTTTTTTTTTTGGTACTGGGAATCAAACTCAGGACCTTGCACTTGCCAGGCAGGTGCTGTGCTACTGAGCTATATCACCGGCCCAGCGAATTATTTTTAAAAATGCAAAACCAGCTGGGCATGGTGGCCCACGCCTGTGATCCCAGCACTCAGAAGACTGAGGCAGAAGTATCACCATGAGTTCTGAGGCCAGCCTGAGCTACACAGTGAGACCCTGTCTCAGGGAAAAAAAAAAGCAAAACCAGGAAGAAAGTAGATCCTGCCACACGTCAATACTGAGACAAGCACCCCCATTCTACTTCAGACTACTAGTACAGCTGTCAGCGTGTGCATGTGTTCAAATGTTCTGCATTTGGCAGTCCGTATCTGCAGCCCTCTTTCTGCACACAGTGCTCCACAAAGCACAGGCAGAGCACCCTTGCCAGCTTCTTAAGATGAAACACACAATGAGACCCTTCCTCCTTTTTAAAAATTCTTTGGTTATTTTTGAGACAGGGACTCGCTAATGTAGTAGAGCGAACAGAGATCCTCCTGCCTCGGCCTCCCTAGTTCTGGAATTACATGCGTGCACAGCCACGTGGGGCTTAGACCCTTCCTCTAGCTGAGAGTTTACCCGCGTGCTGCTATTAATCTTTCTATCACTGTCATCTCAAATTATAACGTCTCAAACAAGAGACACAGGCCCGCTGGCCAGACCACGACAGCTTGTTCCTATCTACTATTCTTTAAGACAAGGCGCAGGGAGGACAAACTTCAAGTGAAAGGAACAGATTCATAGGGAAAACGGGAGCTTGTTTTGTGCTTTTCTGGGGTGCCAGCGAATGGTAAAAATGCAAAGGAAAAGGCCTCGCACCTGGACTGGGAATAAAATATCTCCTGCTGGGCTTTCAAGAGCTCTTTGCAACTTCAGCACCAGGGACCCAACACCGCCCCAAGCCCTTCTGTAACGGCGTTCAGAGCTTTAATTAACTGAGGCCAGGGATTCGCTCCACCTCTGCAATGCTGCTGCTGCCTGCCAGTGCCTAGCAGCCAGGAGCAGCTCTCCCGTTGGTCTTGATGCCTGCCCTGCACAATTAGCACCTCATTATAGCTGGCCTCTCTTCTAATTACCACAGGGCTCAATTGAGCACTTTATTTTATTGTCTTGTTCCCGCACTAGTTCAAGTGTTCCCCAGCTATAATAAATCCTACTTCCTCTCAGCCAGGTGTTTAGAGTTCCCTATCTCCTCAGGCCCATGAGAACACTCTAGGGACTCCAGGCATGCAAACACTTCCTGGCGGAGAGCCGCCTGATGACCGTTCTGGGAGCGTGGCACAGGGCTGGAGGCTGGCTCTCCACGAACGCCTGGCCAACTCTATGCACCGGGACCACAGGCACGCTGCGCTGCTGCGGGGCCGCTTCTTAACCGGGGAGCTGCACTCCACCTTCTTGGGTATTACTTTTCTCTCTCTCTTATTTTAGAGACAGGGTTTCACTATGCAGTTCAAGCTGGCCTTGAACTCACTTTGTAGCCCAGGCTGCCCTCAAGCTTGCAGCGATCCTCCTGCCTCAGCCTCCCCAGTGCTGGGATTACAGGTGTGTGCAACCATGCCAGGCTATCTTTTCTCTTTATCTAACAGGATGGGCTGAAACTGACATGGAAACATCTCCATTGGCATCACATTCCATGTTTCTCTAGAAAAAAGACTGAAGGGCAGCGAATAGACTCTTCCTTTTGGAATTAAATCTAACCATGGGGGGTTGGAGATTTAGCTCAGTGGCACAGCGCCTGCCTGGCAAGCCCAAGGTCGTGAGTTTGGTTCCCGGTACCAGAAATCGCCCCCAAAATAAATAAATAAATAAATAAATAAATAAAACTAACCATGGTTTTCAGGGGAGTTACCAGTAGCACAATGGCAAATATGCTGGTGACTGAGGTGGACTGTGGGGGGAGGGTGCAGAAGGAGACAGTCAGGAGGGCAGGGGTGGGAGCTGGAACATAGGGACGCAAATCCTGGCTCTCCCACCTACTTCGGTGGTTATGTTATCTGTGACCTTGCTCAAGGCATTGAATTGCTCTGTGCCTCAGTTTCCCACTCTGCAAAGTAGGCTTCACAGGGCTCTTATGAGGACTTGATCTTTGTAAAGTGCTTGGTGTATAGTAAGAACGACAAAAGGTGTTAAAGAAGATTAAGACAGGGGAGGGTTTTAGGACAGACACAACGGCGCACCATTCTTGGCATCTTGATTTTCTGGCTATAATATGTTCTTAGAATTATTTCAATAAACTAAAAAAGGACTCTGAACTTACGAGTTTTAAAAATATCAAATGTACTATTATGGCAAAGGTGATAAAAATGTTTGGGCAGCATTTAAATGGAACCATTAGTGAAGGCACATTGCCTTTAAGAGAGAATTTAACATGAACCTTCAGCTGTTTACACCTCTTTATACCTGCTTAGCCTAACATACAAGACAACACTCAACATTATTCACCACGTACTGCTGACCCTTCTCCAGCAAGGAACTTTTTGTCAATTGTTAGGAGATGGTTCAAATACATGTTCTATACTTTTAGTAAAAATTTTTTGTTTGTTTTTTTGAGATAGGGTCTCACTACATACGTCAGGCTGACACTGGATTCACTATGTAGCCCAGGCTGGCTTGAACTGGTAGCAATTCCTGCCTCAGCCTCCTGAGTGCTGGGATTACAGGTGTGCATCACCACGCCTGGCTGTTCTATACTTTAAAAAATTGTTATTATTTCTGCAGTGCTAGGGGATTATACCCAGGCTTTCACACATGCTAGGCAAGTACTCTACCACTGAGCTACCTCCCTAGCCTTGTTTCATATTTTCAAAAACATATAGAAAAGTTTTTTACAAAAATAATAATGGAATACACTTTTAACAGCAGCAGCAGCAGCAACAGAAAACAAAACGACTCCGTGGTATCTAAACTCAGATTTTTCTCCCGAGTGTCTTCCGAAACCTTTCAATTTGCTGTCACCCTTTACATCCTTAGTTCCTTTAGATAGCCTAGCTTTGAAATTCCACTTCTAGGTTCTCTCTACTTTCTCTGGCACGAGACACTGTATCTCACACCAGGAGTTCCTGGCTGTCCCAGAGTCCCTCACACAGAATTGCAGTCCAGCCACACAAAGGTGTCTCTCTACTGCCATTTCAGGTGGGGCACCTGTGCCTTTGTTAGGAAGGGATCCCTCCTGGCCTTGTGGTTCCCAATTTTTATGGAGGCAGAGTCCAGCCCCACAAGATGTCCTCCCTTCAGGTGCGCTGCAGAGAGCTACCTGGAGACTGAAGAGGCGGCTAATGTGGTTAGGCACTTCCTCTCCGTGACTTTCAGACACTGTCCAATTCTACTACCCCCACTGATGGCATCACCCTAGCTCTAACCGCTGTGTTCTGCAGCTGTGCTGACCTGGAAGTGTCTTCGGGTGGAAGTCAAGTTTTGTTCCTTTTCGCGTCCCAAAGCCAGAACAAAGCCCACCTATAGTAAGTTCCCAATGCACGGTTACCTGTGATACTGTATTTGAAGCCATTACCCGAGAAACACCTACTTTTTATGATTAAGGTGACAAGAATTACTTTCACTTTTGAGTACAGGGAGATTCCTCAAAACTCAAGAAAGTGAAGTTTTGCTGCGTGCGCGGGTGTACGCCTGTAATCCCAGCAGGCTGGGAGGGTGAGGCAAGAGGACCTCAAATTCAAGCTCAGTCTGGGCAATTTACAGACTTAACAAGTCTGTCTCAAAACAAAAATAAGAACGGAAGGACTGGGGGTGGTCACTCAGTGCCAAAGTCCTGGTTCAATCCCTGTATCCCCCCGCCTCCCCGCCACAAAGAGATTGCAGTTTCAGTTTGGTTTAACTTTCCCCTCACTCATCTGCTCGGCTCCTGTAGAACTTGCATTGTACCCTGTCTGCTCCTCCTCCGCCGGCTCCTTTCGGTGACCCCGGCTGCACCTTGCAGGCACCCTGTCTGCGTGTGCGGGGCCCAAAGTCCTCACTGGGTGCCACCGGGCGTTGCTCTTTCCCGGCAGCTCCTCAGCTCCGGGCGATCCCCTCCGCCGAGCCGGGGATTCCGGAAGTGCGGAGACGCCGGGGGCACCGCGCACCTCGCGTCGCGGGCTACCCAGATGCTCCTCGCCTGCTCTCTTCGGGACCAGGCTCCGGCGACCAACGAAGGAAAGGGCCCTTCCGAGATCCTGGGTCCAGTTCGGGCGGGGGCTGGGGGTCCACCCCTGGGGCGGAGTGAGGACGCCCCACTTCGGGCCCAGACTCTGCCCATCGGGAGTGACCCAACAGGGCTTCGTCGCCTCGTCTCCCCAACCATCCCAGGGACCCGGGAAGCGGCCAATCACAACGTCGCCTCCCCTTGGGGGGGGGGGTCCGCCTCTCTCCCTCCCTCGCTGTCTCTGCTACTCCAACTCCAGCCCCCAGCACCTGCACCCCGCGCCGGCGCGCGCGAGGGCCCGGCCGCCCGCCCGCCTCCCCGGCTCCGTCACCGGCCCAGCTTCCCTCCCCACTGACCGCGAAGCCGGTGGCAGTTCCCAGTCCCAGACCCCCGGTGGGGCTCCCGCCGCCGCCGCCGCCGTCGCGTCCCCTTGTCGTCCCTGCCTCTGGACCCGGCCTCGGGCTGCGGCGATGCCTCCTCGACACGAGGTGCCGCGGCTCGCCGGGCTCCACCACACACCCGGCGAGGCGCAGGAGAAGCCCATCGAGATCCCGGCGCTGGCTGCGGCCGCGGCTACAGGAGCGGCCGCGGCGCGGGTTGATGACGCGAGGGCGCGTGCCCGGCGCGGGCGGGTGACGTATACGCGGCCGGGCCCGCAGCATGGCGTCTGTGTCGCTGAGCGAGGCGGAGAAGGTGTACATCATGCACGGCGTCCAGGTAGTAGCTGCAGCGGCGGCGGCCCGGGTTCTCCTGGTCTTGCGGGTCACGAGCGCCCTCGGGCCGCCAGGCCAGAGCGTCCAGGCCGCTGTGAGACTGCGCTTCCCTTGCGACACCGGCGCGGCGCCCGCGTGTGCCGCCCCGAGCCGGCGGCGTGGGGTTTTAGGCCCCGGAAAGGAGGGCGCGCTCGGGATCGGTGGCCTCCTCGCAGCGGTTCGGATGGCTGAGAGTCGGTCCTCGGCCGGAAGCGGTGCGCAGCCCCTGGAGCCGCCCCTTAGTGAGCGCGCTGTGCCCCCACGGGCGTGCACTCCGCCTTCGCGTCCTCCGGGCTGAGCTCGGTTTTCTCCGGAAAGCGAGGTGGGCATCTGGCCCGCTTGTCCTCATCTCGTGCGGGGGAGGCGCGGAGACAGCGCGCCTGAGGTGAAAGCGCCTTGAAAACACAGCGCTTTACAGAGAAAGCACCTTTTAAAAGCGCTTTGAAAAACAGTTTGGCGGCGGGTGACATGATTATTGTCGCTTCCCATTTTGAAAGTGGAGAACTAAACCCCCTAGGCAGCCATAGCTAAGGTCGTCTTTGCGCATGCTTCAGCCCTTGACGTTGATCTTTCCCCGTTGTCACTCCTCCTGGTAACCGTCTACCCCGCATCTCTTTCTGGCTGCACGGGATGCTGCTCCCCTCAGAGTTCTTCAGCCCACCCCGCGCAGCCCGGGTAGCAGCTCTTCCGTTTCCCTCCGTCTGCCGGGACCAAACTGGAAAGTCACATGAAGGCAACCAGCTATTTCATTAGAGGTCCACAATGTGAGTGAAGACTGTGTCCTTTTAAAACTGTGACCTCTTCTTATCCTCTGCTTTCGTGATGGACCATGCAGCGTCATTAGTTAGCGGGATGCATATTAAACCTCGATTTAAAGTCAAAACTCGCCGGCCGTGGTGGCACACGCATGTAATCCCAGCATTCGGGAGGCTGAGGCAGGAGAATCGCTGCGAGTTCGAGACCAGCCTGGGCTGCAAAGTGAGCTTAAGGCCCGCCTGAACTGCATAGGGAGACCCTGACTCAAAAAGACCAAAAAAAAAAAAAAAAGTCAAAACTCACAATCTCATGAGTAAAAAGGAGGATTTATGGCAAGGGCCAGAAAGGACCTACAGGGTTTTCATGGGCCCCACAACAGACCCCTGGATTGTCTGTGTAGCTGTCTGTCTCTGGTAGTAGCCCTGCTTTTCCCTGCCAGAGTACTTCTGGTCCCTGTGGACACTTGCTTATCGAGTTAATATTATCACTTAGTTACTGTGGACGGATCAGGCCCACAGTCTCCCAAACGAGTGGATGGCGAAGGCAAAATAAAAGAGACGAATGATTTCAGGGCTCCAGGAGGATCAGAGCCCTCTCACAGAATCTGAGATTCTCTGGGCTAAGACAAAGTTCTTTTCTGGGAGGTCAGTATTTGTTTAGTTATCAAAACAAGGTGGGGGATACTGAAGGAAGGCTCTCAAGGGCTTCTCCAAGTAAGACACTATATTAATTTAGGAGAGCTTTGTTAACTCCAGGGAGGTCTCCACTCAGGAGTGAGCTGCCTGCAGCTACAGTCTTTATCCAGTTGATTGAGGTTGGAGCCAGGTGCCATTAGCTGTGGCCTTGTCTTGTCCTGTGCTTCACCAGCTACTACAGGCCTCAGTCAGTTGGGACCAGTGACTCGCAGAGGTTCACTTACTAGGAGTCTGCTGCCCACCTCCAGACAAGGGGCCTAGGCCTGGGACAGACTCACAAGTAAACATGAAAAGCCAACTGGTTAATTAATTAATTAATTAATTTATTTTTTTTCTCCAGTACCGGGAACCGAACTCACCACCTTGCACTTGCCAGGCAGGCGCTTTTTGCCGCTGAGCTAAATCCCCAGCCCCCAACTGGTTAATTTAAATCCTGCCCAGAGCTGCTTCATAGTGGTCTCTATCAGTTGCTGTCCAGCGTCTCTTAAGCCTTAGTGAAATCTGTCCCTTTCCACACCTTTACTTTTGTATGGCCTTTCCAGCTCTTTACCACATCTTGACCTGTTAACCCCTCCTTTTGTTTTTAAGACAGGATCTCACCAGTTCATACTATTCCTGAGCTCACTGTGTAGCCCAGGTTGGCCCCAAACTTGCAGTGATCCTCCTGCTTCAACCTCCCAAGTGCTGGTATTACAGGCAGGTGCACCATGCCCGGCGGCCCCTCTTTAACTCTTTTTCTTTGAAGTGTTTCCCAGATCATAGATAAGAGCCTAGTGAGAGAACTAGTTTGGCTTGCTGGTATTTCCTGTCCTGAAGAGCTGGTCCCCCTATGCGTGGTATGCTTTTGAGTCACACCCTTACCTCTGGCCTGGCTGGTGAAGAAAGACTCAGTTATGGGGTATTGAAGAGCTGTGGGCACAGTGGGCTTTCCCAAGGTCCGCTTACAGGACACTGGCCATAACCCGGAGGTTAAGCTGGCCTCAAACCTGGGCTGGCAGTTGGTAACCCCACCCCAAGGAGGAGAGAGAACACTTACAGGGCCCAAGCCTGTGTTCCCCTATGAGCTTAAGTTGGCATTCATTTGCTCCATCTGGCCGTGGCAGAGTTGGAGCCAGCCCCCAGCGCGCTTGCTTCTTTGCCCGTACTCTGTTTCCAGACCCTGAAAGCAACGCTGTGGAACCACATCCTTCAGAGGAGTGCAGGGCCGCTTGGGCGTGAAACAACCAACATCTGGTTTTGCGTGCTGTGTTTTGGACCTGGGCTTGCAAAGCTGGACCGCGAGGTCCCTTTCCTGGGGGGCTGCTTTCTCACAGGGCGGGGTCTGAGTCTCCGTTCCTCTCTAGGAGCTCTGAGCTACAGGACAAGTCAAAGCAGGGTGAATAAGGGGTCCCCTCAGAGCACAATGTAAGAGTCTGGAGGCCTTCCAAGCGGGTTGGTTTAGTTGTGCTGCCTGTAATAACTGTCGTAGGGCTGGGGGTGGTGATGTACACCTATTGCCCCAGCACCCTCCAACACTGAGGCAGAAAGATCCTACACTGGAGCCCAGCCTGGGCAATTCAGTGGCTTCGTGAGACCCCTCCTCAAAATAAAAGGGCTGGGAATGTGGCTCAATGCAAAGGTCCTGGGTTCAATTCCCAGCACTGCCAAAAAACCATAACAAATTGTAATAGGCCTGGATTACCTGGGTGTGGGGCAGAGCTCTGGGCTGAGTTAAATATCTTCCCACTCTGGCACAGACAGGAGATTAAAGCTGGGGGCCTCTGTTTCCTCATCTATATCTTTCCAGGGTTAGCTGTGGGGTTCAGTGAGCTCATATAGGCCCAGGAGCAGGTGATGGGCACTGCTTTGAGGGGGAGATGACACCTATGTTCTCCTGGGAAGATGGCGCCCGTCAGTGATCCCTGCCTTTTGGAGTCTTCTGTAACTAAAGTTGTGCCTACTTTGTGAGTGAGGACACAGGAGCTTGCTCAGGATCCCAAAAGCTGGTGTGTGATGGCAGAGATTTTTGTTTTGTCTTTTTGAGACAGGGTCTTGCTCTGCAGTTCAGGCTGGCTTTGAACTTACTTTGTAGCCCAGGGTGGCCTTGAACTCACAGCAGCAATCCTCCTGCCTCAGCCTCCCAAATGCTGGGGTTACAGGTGTGCACCACCATACTCGGCTTGCAGCCTTTTTGTAGATCCATGCAATTAGAGAATTACCTTGGAAATTGATCTTCGTCGTTGACACATGAGCAGATGAGTCCAGACTGGGGAGAAGGAAGGGGTCCCAGGGCTGGGCGAAGCCTGGTGGGGAGGGTGAGGGGCCTGGGAAGGGGCTAGAAAGCTTTCAGGTTCCGTGGGTGGGGTTGTGAGGGCACACGGCTAGAGGATGATTCTGAGTTTGGAGTTCTGCTGCAAGGAGGGCTCACTTTGCTCCACTTGCTGGCCTTGACATACCTGTCCCTAGGTGCCGGAGTTGTCTGTAGCGGGGCATCAGCTGGGTCCACTTCCTGTCATTAACAGTAGTTGAGAAGGTTAAGGAGCGGAAGTGGGCACGATGGAGGGTCACGCTGAGCACTGTGTGAGAGCTTGCAACAGTGTCTGCTCTTCTGTTCAGTTTCTCACAGTAAAAAACATTCAGCACATACGCAGTTAGCAAGGCAGTTTAAAGATAAACTTCTAGGCTGGGCGTAGTAGTGGTGCACGCCGTCATCCTAGCTCTCAGGAAGCTGAGGCAGGAGGATTGCTGTGAGTTCCAGGCCAGCGTGGGCTACAAAGTGAGTTCAAGGCCAGCCTGTACTACATAGTGAAACCATCTCAAAAAGCCAGAAAAAAAAAAAAAAGATACATTTCTGAAAGTCACAGTACCCACTGTTTCTTATTTTTGTTTTATGTTTTGGGAGGCAACCACCCCCTTGGGTATCTGATGAAGCTAATGATTCTTTTTCTCAGGGAGAAAAAACTGCTTTCAAAAAATACAGAATGAGGGTGATGTCTATGAGCTGACAGGGAGCAACTTGTGTGGGTTTATTTACTATATAAATTAAACGTTAAGAAAAAGCCAAGTGTAAAAGAACATATAAAATGGTATGCAGCCTTCCTTACAAGAAAGAAGGAAGTAAATTCACGCATCTGCTGGTTGGAGGAGAGGAGATACAAACCAAAGGGTGGAAAATAAATAAATAAATAAAGTGTGCATGTCCTTTTCTCTCTGAAGAAAAACAAAACAAAAACAAAGGGCAGGTTGCTGAGGGACAGGAGAAGGCCGTGATGCAGATTGGGAAGGTGACGTCTGTCTGCGCTCACCTTTGCTGCTAGCTTTGCCTCTGGGAACCACAGCAATACTCTGAGTACCGACAAGTAAATAATGAAAGTAACCAGCATGTGGCAGAAGCCACAGTGAAGTAGAAACAGTTAGGAGTGAGCAAGGGTAACGCGGGAGACTGTGACTACACCGGAGAGCGCAGTCAGGCCAGAGTCGGAAGGAGCGCTACGCCACGTGTAACTCTGTTGCTGGGAAGTTTATTTCCCCTGCAGATGTTGGCTAGCAGCTCTGACACTGCTTTATAGAAAGACTGAACAAATAGAGAAACATTGTAGAAAGTGAGAGCTAGCTGATGCTTGTGCTTGTGACAGAGACAGACAAAGTAGGGACTGATCATACTGGGCTGCATCCCCACCCCTTTTTAAATTTTGAGACAGTCTTCAATTGCCCAGCGTAGTTTTGAACTTGCAGTCTTCCTGCCTCAGCCTCCCCCAGTGCTGGCATTACAGGAGTGGGCCACTGCACCCGGCTGAGAGCCAGCTTTCTCCCTGCCTTAGACATTACAAATGAGAAAAAGAGCAAGGCTGGAAGGAGCCTGTGGGTATTAGATTGGGATGGAGCCTTCAGTGCGAATGCATGGCTTCTCGGTAGGCGTGTGCGTGCGGAATTAAACATGCTTGTGTGGGAGGGGTGTTAGTTACGTGGACGTGGATGTTTTTCTAGCTGGGAAGGTCTGGAAGCAGGGGTGGCAATGAACTCGGCAACCAGATCCTGGTTTTTAAGACCGTTCTGTGGTAAAAGGAACCAGGGCTGGGGCAGGGCGAACACATGAGGCTGGAGCAGCTTGTGTTTGAAAGGAAAGAAGCGCCCCAAGGAAACGGGGGCGCATTGAAAGAGCCCGGCACCAACGCGGAGATGCCGCCAGCGGCCGAGTCGGGAACAAAACAGTGATCTTAGTAGATCACGGCCGCAGCCATAAAGTAGATGTGAGTGTTATACCGCTCTGAACAAACAGTAGAAGAGGTCAGCAGACACGCAGACGGGCAGGCAGGCGGAGAGGCCGCCTCGGAAAGCTGGGGGCCGTCCCCCTGGAGAGGGCAGCTGGGCCCCCACTCTGGTTGTAGGGAACGTGAGTGGGTGTGGCTATGTCCAGGAAAACAAGCGGCCCAAGGCCTTAGTCTGTCAGGCCTGTTTAAGATCCGCTGTCCTTAGCTTCTTGAGCATTGTGGGGTCGGAGGCCGAGGTGGAGACAGCCCACCCTGTAGATCTGACTGCACACGCTTCTGCGCACGCTCTTAGCCTTGCGGGTGTGCAGGCGGCTGCCGGGTTCTGTCCTACGTTCAGGTGTTACTTGTTCGGCACTCGTGTTGCGTGTGGCACTACGCTGTGGCTGTCGCTGTCAGGCAGGCTGGCGTGCAGGCTCGGCTTTGCTGCACCAGCTGTGGACTCGGACACATCGCTGCACTTGTCCAGGTCCCCTCGTGTGTAAGAGAGCAGCGCTGGTCATAGCCAGGACAGGATTCCCACCAAGAGAAGAGGGGGCGTTGTGCTGCAGGGTTCTCCAGGACAGAGGAGCAAGTCAGTCTGGCCGGCTGCTATTGGCGTGGGGTCCCAGCCCACGTGGTTGTCGTTGACTTAGGAAGACCTCCGCGTGGACGGCCGTGGCTGTGAGGACTACCGGTGCGTGGAAGTGGAAACCGACGTGGTGTCCAACACCAGCGGCTCTGCCAGGGTCAGGCTGGTGAGTACCGTGGCCATGTCCGCAGCCACCTGGAGGAGGCGTGGGTAGGCCCTGGGGAGACCATGCCATACCCAGGTTGGGGTCTGGCCTGGCCCGAGGGACCCCACCGGGGCGCAGCTCCTGAGACCCTCAGCTGTCTGTCTGGAAGCAGAGGGCAGTGGCCCCTGGCTGCCCTGCCTGACCAAGGACCCTTCTCCCATGTCCACAGGGCCACACAGACATCCTGGTAGGGGTGAAAGCAGAAATGGGGACGCCGAGGCTGGAGAGGCCCGACGAAGGCTACCTGGAGTTCTTCGTTGACTGGTCAGTGCTGTGCGGGGGTTTTAGAGACTGGAGCTTAAAGCAGGACCATTGGGAGAACAGCCCTCTAGTTCCCTGGGCAGCCTTTACCTCCTCCATTCAACCCCTCCACTCTCCAGGAGGCATCTGCCAACTTGGGCTGCCAAGGTCTGGGTAGGAGCCCTGGCCTCGTCTGAGTAGCCGGGCCTTGTTGGCCCCGTTTTCCCTGTGGGCAGAGCAGGACACCAGCCTGGACGTGCGGCACAGAGCAGTCACAGGCCGTGGCGGATGTGTCTCCGTGCTCTGGAAAGTACCATCCTCGGGTGGTGCGGCCATTCTGTCCAAAGCGCCCGTCTCTTCCCGCTGCAGCTCCGCAGGGAAAGTCTTTTCCCGGCTCTGCAGGGAAAGAGGTGCAGAGGGTAGAGTATACGCACACAGCCCAGGCCCGGGGACCCCGTCCCGCTGATGGAGCTTAGAGCCTGGCTCCCAGCTCGAGAGGCCGCCCCACGAGAGCCCTCTGGAGCCCTGCAGCTGGTGGCACGGATGCAGACCCGGGTCGATCTTCACAGTGCTCCTGTGAACGGCGGCAAATGGCGCGTGCGGAGGGGTGGGGACTTTCCTAGGGTCACCGCTCAAAGTGCCAGCTGGGGTCTGCCCAGCACTGACTCTTCTGTCTGCTTTGAGGGCTTGTGCTTGGAGGCCCAGCCTGGCCACGCTGACCTCTGGCGATGTCTCCTGCCACTCCGGCCAGCCCCAGCCGTCCTTCCTGCAGTCTGGTTGCCCTGAGGAGCGCAGATGGCAGCAGCCTTGCCTGGGCCCCCGCTTATCCCGTTGCTCGTGAAGGAAGCACAGTGCCTCTCCTGACCTTGACCTGCCCGGGCCAAGCAGTGGGTGGTGACCGAGGAGAAGACAGCTGTTCGCTTTTCTCCCCTGGCCCTGTGTCGTCTTGCCTCAGTCCTCAGAGGCAGTCAAGGCTGTGGCTCTTGCTCTGCTGCCCGGGGGCGGGGGCGCGGGCGAGGGTGCTGCACGCAGTGCCTGGTCCCGGGTGCGTCTCACTGGCTTGGCAGCCTGTGCTGTCCCCAGGTGGCCTGCGGGAGGGGGTGGGGGGCCAAGCTGAGCTGATGCTGCCCCGTCAGAGGCTCGTCGAGTCTCCAGGGAGCAGCGCCCCCCCCACTTCCAGGCGCATCCTTCACTCCTGCCCTGGGGGTAGCAGAGGCCTCTGGCCCCTTGGATGCGCCACACACCCTGTGTGCCCCCTGGCCACTGGCCTCCTATTTGGGATGAGGTGGGGGCTCCTGCTGGCACCCTGGGTCTAGCTTGATTTAATTCCTTATCGGCAGCTTCCAGGCTTTAATTATTTAAATTCCCCAGGGTAGAGAGGTCTCAGGAAGCTAATTGCTTTTCTGCTAACTCGAGTCCCTTTGGATTTGTCTACCTGAAACGGTAACATGCAAGCCCAGCAGATAGTATTTATGCGTCCTCTACCCTGTGTCCTGGGACTTGGGACACTTCGAGGGTCTCAGCCTCTGCAGAGGGTGCCTGCTGCCCGCACCCAGCCCCGCTCACTGTGCCTGGCTGTACCCTCTGATCTGGAAGTGACTCTGACTTCCCAGCCCTGCCTCTAGCCTTGGATGTGCGGGTGGGAGCCTGAGAAGAGGCATTTGAAATGAGAACTTGGAAACTTGAGGAGACAGCCTCTGCCTAGAGCCCACAGGAAGGTGTTTAGTTCTTTTTTTTTTTTTTGAGACGGGGTCTTACTATGCAGTGCAGGCTGGCCTTGAGCTCACTTTGTGGTCCAGGCTGGCCTAGAACTCACAGCGATCTTCCTGCCTCAGCTTTTAGAGTGCTAGGATTACAGGCCTCTGCCACCACACCCAGCTCAAGAAAGGTGTGTAGAAACCTGCATGTGGAGTGGCTGCCTCCAGGTGGCAGTCCGTTGGGTCTTATCAGCCCTCTGGCCGGGTAAATGGCATCAGGACTGTTCGGCCTCTCAGAGAGGCCAGGCCTCGTTCGTAAATGTCTCAGCGGGTCCAGCACTTGTCACTTCCCCTTTGATCCTAACTGCTCTTCGGTGCGGTCTCTGGTGTCCCTCACAGACACAGCCAGGATCTTTGAACCCCCCTTAGTGGGCGGGGCCGCTGCCCCCCTGCTCCTTGCCTGCTTTGTGCCACTTGGAGCCGGCAGCCCTGGGCTGAGGGCCAGGGTGAGAACGGAGCGGAGGCAGCCGCCAAGCACTGAGGCCATTCGTCGTCAAGTCCCCAGAGCGGTGAGGTCACTTCCAGAAACTTCGGCAGGGGCTCGCAGTGGGAGGTTCAGAGCCTGCTGCTCATGGGCCCAGGGTGGGAAGCTGCCGTGCACACACGGGGAGGGGTCAGCCTGGAGCTGGAGGGCTCCGTGAGGGTGAGCCTGCTCCGTACCCACTGAGGCTGTTCCTCCGCAGGACTCCGTAGATCGCAGCTTGATTGTTTGTGCAGGAAGCAGCAGCGACCTAGTATCCAGAATCCACACTGGGTGGATGTGGCCTTGAGCTCAGGCTACCGGGGTCGGCAGGAGGGGTGGAGTGGGCAGGGCGGAGGTGAGGGAGGAGAGCCGGAGGGGCAGGGCCTGGGCTCTGGGAGAGGGGTGGCCCTGCTGCAGGAGGGATCTGAGTCGGTTTGTGCCAAACACCCCACAGGCCCACGGAAAGGCTGTGTGGGGTGCGTCGGAGCAGCGAGCTAGAAGGACCAGCCGGTTCCCTCCCCGCCCCAAATTGTGTTTGCCCACAGGCGTTTACTGGGGCTGCCTTGGGCTGTGTTCCCTGATTGCATCTGTGGTCCAGCATGAAGCGCCAGGTTGAACAGCTGCTCAGTCTCCTGAGGCAGAGGGCGGCCCCTCGCGTGGGCAGGGGCGGGGAGGCCTGCGTGCCTGGCTGAGATCCTGGGCACCGGGCGTGTGGCCCTGCACACTGCTTCCCTTCCTGACTTAGTTTCCTTACCGCTGAAGTGGAGCCGGGGTCGGAGATACAGGCCGGGCGCCGGGCAGAGGGCTTGCCTCAAAGGCGCCGGCTCCAGGTCAGTCCTCACCAGCACAAAAATAAAGTGGAATCAAAGCCTCCATGGGTAGCCGCAAGGACGAGCCGGGTTGGTCCAGCTAAAGAGCATGGTGTGTAGTGTGTGGTGGACCCTTTTCTTTTCAATCAGATTTTATCGGTACACTTTAGGTATCCGCGATGATTACATTCCTTGCAGAGAATTTGCTCCTGTACAGGGCGAACCTTTTTAGAAGTAGTTCAGGCTACATGTGGAGTGGGGGCGCACACCAGCAATCCCACACATGGAGGCCGAGGCAGGGTTGTGAGTTCGAGGCCAGCCAGGACTGCATAGTGAGAGGCTGTCCGCGGTGGGGAATGTCACTGGTGTCGCTCCTTGTGCAGTGAAAGGGTTGGTCCTCCAGGGCTGCACAGAGCTGTCCTGCAGGCCTCTGCCCCGGGAGGTTTGCCTATCGGCTGCAGGGTGTTTTCTGAAAGGAATGAAGATGGCTGGGAAGCGCATCAGCCCTGCGTCTGCCCTGCGGCCCAGTTCCCGTCCCTGGAGTCGCCTGTGCGGGATCTGCCAGGCGTTGCCTTTTATCCCCTCCCAGAGACGCCCCCCGGGCCTGCATTTCTCCCAACTTTGCTGCCGGGAGTCCCTGTGTTAGCAGCGCCCCGTGATGAGGTGCCCCTCATCACTCAGCCCACCCCATTCTTCACAGAGTGGGCCCTGGCTTTTCTTTTGCTACCCCGGCATCGCACTACCCAACCCAGAGCCTGTGCCTCCGTGGTCTCGGCTCCTGGAAGCCCTGTGAGAGGAGGGATTACTGGCGTGCGCCCCCACCCCACACGTAGCCTGAACTACTTTTGAAAAGGTTCGCCCTGCACAGGAGCAAATTCTCCGCAAGGAATGTGATCATTGCGGATACCTAAAGTGTACCGATACAATCTGATTGAAAAGAAAAGGGTCCACCACACACTACACACCATGCTCTTTAGCTGGACCAACCCAGTTCATCCTCACGGCTACCCACGGAGGCTTTGATTCCACTTTTATTTTTGTAGTGATGAGCAGACAGGAGCATGCCTGGGCTCATGAGCCTGCTCAACACAGTCCTCCCTGCCTGTTGGTCTGCTGGCTGTGATAAAAGGCTGATGTGTTTCAAACTAAAGGCTTTTAAGTGGGCAGAATCCCTCTTTAGACTAACCTGGTCTCGGAAACCCCAAGGGATGAGGCTTTGCAGACAGGCTGGGTTAGACAGCTGGTCCCGGGAGCTCTGTAAGAGGCCCCCTGGGGGTAGTGAAGTGGACAGGCGCCCCGGCCCTGAGTCCTGCCGGGAAGATGGTCGCACCTTCAGGAAAGGGTAAAACTTTTGAGGAAAGGCCCCTCAGGCTGGGTTTGTCTATGCAGAGATCTCTACAGAAGTATTTTGAAGCATTTAAAACCTAGGACATATTGATTGCCGAGTGTTTTGAATTAGAAGCAAGTTGTGTTTTGCTGGCTGTGCACAATAAAAAGTTGGTCCCTGGTGACCTGATTATTTCCCCGTAACTGTGCTGCTTTTCACAGCTTGATGCCTGAGTCCAGCAGAGGTGGTGAGGAACCAGCCACGTTGCTATGGCAGTGAGGAAGTTTCCTGTGGAGCTCTTAAATTGGTCTCTGATGGCCGATGGGGATAAGGAAGCCAAGGGGATCAGGCGAGCAAAGTTACTAGACAGTGACAGGACAGGACTCTTTCTTCTGGTGGGGATCCTGGGCACTGACTCCACCGAGCACAGTGTCACCAGTTTTTGTTTTTTGTTTTTCTCCGGTACCGGGAACCGAACTCACGACCTTGCGCCTGCCGGGCAGGCGCTTTGCCGCTGAGCTAAATCCCCAGGCCCTAGTGTCACCAGTTTTTATTTTGAGATGAGGTCTTGTCAGGTTGGCCAGGCTGGCTTCAAACTTGTAACCCTCCTGCCTCAGCCTCATGAGTAGCTGGGATTACAGGCATGTACTGTGCCATGTACTATTGCCCACTTTTTAACTGGCTTGCTTCAGCGTTTTTACTTTGTGGGGAGATGGTGCTGGGAATTGAACTCTACCACTGCTACGTCCCTAATGCTTTTTATTTATTGAGACTGGGTCTTGCTGCAGCTGAGACTGGTCTAAGACTTTCAATCCTCCTGCCTCAGCCTTCCCAGTAGCTGAGATTTGAGGTGTGCACCAGTTCACACAGCCTGATTCATTCTTACATCTAGATTACAAAGAGTGATTCCTTTGGACGGCCCAGATGCAGTGGGCACAGCGGGAAACTGTCTCCCCGCCTCTGGCAGACCAGCCCCCACTCACCTTCAGGTCTGAGGCCCCCTGGGCTTCAGCACTAACCCTCCTGCCCCCCTCCCACCGTCTGCTCCCTGTTTCTCAGTTCTCCTACTTCACAGGGACGCTGCAGTCCCCTGGCCCAGTCTCTGTCGCTGGTGCTTTCTGGTTGGGTGAGGGGTTGGAAGACACCAGTGTGTGTTTTGTTTTTTTTGTTTTGTTTTGTTTTGCTACCAGGAATTGAACTCAGGGCCTCACACTTGCCAGGCAGCGCTGTGCCGCTGAGCTATACTCTCAGCCCCAGCATGTGGCTTTGCAGAGTCTGAGATGCAGCAGCTGGTTTGTTTCTTACCTTTCCTGGCTGGCATGGTCACTTCCCCCCGAGACTGGTCGCAGGTCCAGGGGCGTCAGGCCAACACTGTCAGCGACCTCCTGGGAAACCCTTCAGAGGGGCGTGGAGAGTGGCAATGTGGGTCTGGTGGGTTCTTTGTGGAAGCATTTGGACATAAGTATCAAAAGGCCAAAAAAGAAACATTGTTTTTCTTTTAAAAATATCCAGTCAAGTAAAGGGGCTAACTGAGCACTTAATCAGCCAGCAGTCTGTCTTGCTTTCATTTACCTTCTTGGAGCGCAGGGACAGCCTGGAGGCTGTGCTAGGGCTCTGACGTCTGTCCTACGTCCCCCAGCAGCCGTGGTGCACGCGCGGCAGGTGGCTCTGCCCTGTATCCCGGCGGCGGTGTGCAGCGCGGCCCCCTGTGAGCACGCTGCCCGGAAGCGCTCGAGAAGAGTGTTCACTGTCCCTCTAAACAGGCTTCCCCGTGTCATGGTGCTCGTTTCTCCTGGGCTAAAGCTGGCTTTGATAGCAGTCAGGGAAGTCCCGTGGGCTGGTACGTGTGGCTGCCGGGGGTGGCCGGGTGGCAGACACACCGTTCCCTGGCTTTTCCTTCTGGAGGTGCAGTGCCTCCCATGTCCTAGGCAAGCACTCGCCCAGGCTGCCCTTCCTGTCCTCGGCGATGGCCCCAGCAGGCTTGCGGCACAGCCTGGCGTGGAGCCCGCACCCCGGCCCTTGGCATCTGGAAAAACTCACATGCGTTGCTCTTCCCGTTCCGTGTAGCTCAGCCAATGCTACCCCGGAATTCGAGGGCCGCGGAGGGGACGACCTCGGCATGGAGATCGCCAGCACCCTCTGCCGGATATTCAACAACAGGAGCAGCGTGGACCTGAAGTCCCTGTGCATCAGCCCCCGGGAGCACTGCTGGGTCCTCTACGTGGATGTGCTGGTGAGTGTCACGGCGTGCGCTTCAGAGACGCAGGCCGCCGCCCTTACTTTCCCCTCTTGAGGCGGACGCTTTCGGCCTCCGGGGATGACCTCTGGGGCACAGGGCCTCCTGTAGTAACTGTGAAGACACCTGAGCACGTGGACAAATAGCGCACACATAGCGCCGTTCCATAGTGACAGCACAGCGCAGTTATCCACAGAAGTTATCAGGGCAGGAAAAGCCAAGAGCTGCTGTCCGGGTGCGGGACAAAGACACGGCGGAATTCCGCTGAGCGGAAGCGCTTTCCCAGGCCCCTTGTGAGGGGCCCTCGGTAGGTGAGGAAACCAAGACCCTGAGCACTTGAGTATCCGGCCTGAGGTCGCAGCTCCTGAGCAGGGCTCTCTGGTGTCAGACCAGCTCTGATGCCCTCGCTGTGCCGTTGTCCCTTGCTGCAGCCGGGGATGGCGGTCAGTGGGCCGCTGGCCGACGAGCACGCCCTCTCCCCGCAAGGCTGGCCCTGTGGCCCTGCCCCCTGCCGCAGAGCGGGGGGCCTCTGGGACGCTTTCCCCTCCGCCTTCTGCGTCCTCCCGCCCACCCCCACCGCTGCGGGCAGTTGGCCGCATCCTCTGTGTAGCTGTAATTGGTTTTACCTTGGTGTAGCATTGTGCTGATTGGGTCTGTTTCCTTCCTTATTAATTTTGTGACCCTTGAGAAAAAAAGCATTATCTTCCTCCTCAGATTGTGGACACGAGGCTAAGCTGTCAGCCAAACAGATTCTTCAGGGAGTGCAGCTCGTAGCTTGTGGGCAGAGTGAGTTTGATAAAGAGGAAGCGCAGCGTCTCCGCGTTGCTTCGGTGCGAGTCAGGGCAGCGCTTTCCGGACATTCTTACGTGAATTGGTAACGGCGGAGCAGCGAGGAGACGCGTTGGGCGCGGCGCCGTGGGAGGGCGCCATGTGGCGCTGAAGGCCCGTGTGCGCCCCAGCTCCACCAGCAAGGGGGAGGGTGGCAGCCGTCATCCAACAGGTCAGGTTCGTTCTGAACGCTGATGCTGCTGAGTGAGTTCCCAGGTCCGCCTGCTCGTCCTGCTTGCGCTAAGGGGGACGTGTGCTGCACGGTGATCCCTGCCAACAAGGCCTGGTTTTGGTGAGGGGACCAGGTGTGCCCTGGTGCTCACCCAGTGCCGGGGGCAGTGCAGCCCTGAGCTCCCCGGGATCTGCAGACCTCGGTGTCTCCTCCCGCCCCCCATGGGAGGAAGCGCACGGCGCTGCTTGGATGAGCTGCACCGTTCCTCCTTGCGCGTGGCGCGGGGACGTGAGCCGCAGAAGCCCTCTGTGCTGCTCGCGGCTTCTGCAGAGCTGACGGATGCGGGGCCATCATCTCACCTCGGAAACGCCTCCTCCTCCCTGAGCGGGGGCTGTGTGCAAGCGGGAACTTCCAGGCGAGACCGCCTTGCCGTCATCTCTAGCTCTGTCTGCTTTTTTTCTTTTGTTTTTTTTTCCCGTACCAGGAATCGAACTCATGACCTTGAACTTGCCAGGCAGGCGCTGTGCCGCTGAGCTAAATCCCCAGCCCCTAGCCCTGTCTTCTTCGGACGCCTAGCACCTGGGTTCTTCTCGCACATTCTCTTTAAAAGGGCTAATTTTGGAAACACATGGGCTTTTGAACTGTTACTGTCCTCAGTGAAGTTCTTAATTAGAAAAACATTTTTAAACATTATATCATCAGTGCAGTGGACCAGTGTCTGTCATTCCCACGGCTCGCCACGAAGACGGTTCACTTCGGCCTGGATGAGAACGAGCTGGGGGTGGGGAGGGGCCTTTGCTCGCGGTGAGCTTTTATCTGGTCTAGAGACGCTCAGAGTCCGTGTTTGAAAGGAGGTGGTAGAAGTCTGGTCCGCTTGTCGGGATTGGGAGCAGGCGGGCGCCGGTGATTTATTTCTCGTGGGCGCTCGTCCGGTCGTGTGAGGGTCTGGCCTGTGTGCAGACAGCCTAGCCGGCCCCCTCCGCACCCTCCTCCCGGCCCAGACACATGTGCGCACACTCCGTGGCGCTCAGACGCCCCACCGTTTCCAGTGCCGTCTCCTCCCTAGCTGGTCTCGGTTCGCCCCAGGTGGGCTGACTGTTGGGCTTGGTTGCACTGACGGGGGCGGTGACCTTGTGGGGGTGGTCACAGCTGTCTTGGAGGGGTCCTCTGCCCCCCAAGAGGACCACGTAGCCCGTGGCCTGGGCCCACGACAGGGCCTGCTCTGAGCCTCCCTGTCCTCCCCGCTTGTCCCAGGCCTGCGCACACAGCCTGGTCGAGCATGCGAGTCTCGCGAACAGGGAGGGAGCCGCTAGGGTGTTCGTGGCCCAGCCCCTTCCTGCAGGAAGCGGCTTGGAGCTGCGTGGGCAGAGAGGTGGTTGTGGGTGCTGCAGGCGGCCTTGCAGGTGCTGTGCCAGCGCTGGGGCATGTGCGGGGCCTCGAGCTCCATTTCTGTCGTGTGAACTCTCACTCGACCTCACTTGGAGCTGGCGCCCAGGTGCTGAGTGACACGCGCTGTTCTTCGTCCTGTCTCCCTTAGCTGCTGGAGTGTGGTGGAAACTTGTTCGACGCCATCTCCATCGCTGTGAAGGCCGCGCTCTTCAACACGAGGTAAGTCTTTAGGTCTTCCCAGAACAGCCTCAGGTGCCCACCCGAACCTGGGCATCACATGGTCCTGAGAACACGGGGGAGGGCGGCTTGATGTTACCGTGGTGAGATCTGTCTCATGTTAAGCTCCCCGGAGATCGCCTCAGTGAAAACTAACCACATCGCTGGACGGGATGCTACATGCCTCAAAAATCTCAGCACTCAGGAGGCTGAGGCAGGAGGGTCGCTGTGAGTTTGAGGCCAGCCTGGGTACATAGTTCAAGGCCAGGCTGCAGTATATAGTGAGACCCTGTCTCAAATACAAACACAGACTTCTGTGTTTATTTCTGTGTTATTTTCATTAGTGAACATGTGTTATGCAGAAACGTGTCAGACAACTGCAGAGAAGGCAAAAAGACTAGACACCAACCACCAGCCGGCTGTTCCTGGCCAGCCCCGGGGCAGGGATTTTTAACTCGCTGTGTCTTGGGGCTGTGAACAGGGCCTGGCACGCAGTCGGTGTGCATGTGTTCCGTGGTTATGCACACGCGTGTCTCAAAGCAGGGGAGCAGCTGCGCTGTGTCCTCGTCAGAACAGGAAGTGTTGTGCCCTGTTCTCAGTGCACAGTTAGGCTGGAGCAGAGGCACGGCTGAGCCGTCTCGGAGTCAGCGTTTCTTTTGACTCTGATTATGTCGTCCTCCAACAGGAGAGGAATTCGTGGCAGTTGAAAGTAAATACGCCTGTAATCCCAGCACTCAGGAGGCTGAGGCGGGAGAATCTCTGTGAGTTCGAGACCAGCCTGGGCTACAAAGTGAGCTCAAGGCCAGCCTGAACTGCATAGCGAGAGCCTGTCTAAAAATAAATAAATAAATACATTCATTTGTGGACATTCATTCCACGGGGAGCTCACAGAGAGCGGGCTGGGGTATTAAAAAGGAGATTAGAAACTGGGGGGATGGAGCCCAAGGAAACGGTTAAGGGGCGTAGATGCTTTGGTCGTCACAGCGACTGTGTAACGGGGAAAAGCTGGACGCCCTCCGTGCCTGATGGGGGCTCCAAGCCACGTGGTGTAGTTAGAGGGAGACCCGTCACTCGCCGCCATCTTCACGTCCCGCTTCTCGAAGCCTGTTTGTTGTGTTTTACTTCTGGTAATTTTTACTTTATTTTTAATGTGCCTCCCAAAATCGTCATTAAAGTTATTTTTCCTGCACGTCTTACGGCTAGTTGGGCCTGTGTGGGCATCTTAGATGTCCTCCGGGGAACTTAGGCGACCTATGCAGTTTGAAACACATGCGCAGCTAAACCCCTCACCGTGAGAAGCTGCGGGGTGAGGGTGCGCTGGGCTGGGGACCGCAGCGTCCCCCTCCCTGGGCCACCAGGCCCCTCGCTGAGCCCGTTAGGGGTGCAGGCCTGGCACTCGCCCAAGGCCACCACCCTGGGAGCTTGTGTGCCACGTCCCACCCCCAGCAGGAGGGGGAGAATGCAGCAGCTCGAGGCTGCCGGCTGGCTCTCGTGGACCCCAGGCGGGCAGAAAGAGAGGCCGGCCAAGCGGGACGTCAGCACAGAACACGCAGCTGCCCATGCTGGGCTCCCGGCCCGGGCTGCCGTGTTGCCCTGGCATAGTAAAGGGAGGGCGTACCGCAGCTTCCTTTACCAGGAGGGCTTCAGCTCCCGTTGTGAGCCTCCAGGGAGAGGCAGCATTGCTCCTCCGTCCAGTCAGTGGGAGTCCTAACCGTGCTTCTGCTTCTAGGATCCCGAAGGTCCGTGTCCTGGAGGACGAGGAGGGCTCGGAGGACATCGAGCTGTCCGATGACCCGTACGACTGCATGCAGCTCAGCGTGGAGAACGTGCCCTGCATCGTCACCCTGTGCAAGGTGTGGCCGCGTCTCCCCAGCCTCCCCCGCTGGCGTTGCCGAAGCGCCTGGGTGGTTACGGGCTCCCCGGGAGCTCCTGCTTTGCTTGTCGTCAGAGGCTGCGGGAGCACTGGAGCGGGGCTCCTCGGCCCCTTCGCGCATGTGCTCTTCCCGCGACGCCCTGGCTGCTTCCTCAGTTCCCTGAACTCCGCCGCTAAGGTGGCTGAGGAGTTCGAGGGCAGTGAACGCGTCCCCTCTGGCCCAAGATGTCAGGCTCTGTCCTGGGTGGCCGACGCGACAGTGAGCCTGTCACAGACCCCAGGCCCTGTCCTGGGTGGCTAAGGCGTCAGCGAGCCTGTCACAGACCCCAGGCCCTGTCCTGGGTGGCTAAGGCGTCAGCGAGCCTGTCACAGACCCCAGGCCCTGTCCTGGGTGGCCGACGCGTCAGCGAGCCTGTCACAGACCCCAGGCCCTGCAGCCCCATGTGCGGCCGAGGCTGTTGTGCCAGCACTGCCCGGGCGAGCAGGCGGCTGATGCCACTCGGGCCCTTTGCACACACTGTCGGGCATTGCTCGGCCGGCATCGCCTCGCGGACTGGAGTGCGTGGCTCAAGCCACCTGCCTTGGCTCGTTTTGAGCTTGTCCCATCGCAGGGCCCTGCAGGTGCACCACTGCAGTAAGTGAAATCACCTGGCCACACACGTGGCCACCTGCCCCTCGCCCCTTGCTGCAAAATCTTGTGGCCCCTGCAGCCCGTGTTCCGGGTGTCTCTGTCACTCCCCTCACACGGTGGCCTGTAACAACGTCACCCAGCCCTCCAGGCACTGGCCAGGGAGCCGGCAGACTGAAGGGAGAGGGCGCGGGTCCGGCAGGGACTGGAGTCGCCTGGCGTGGACGTCCCTGCCGCAGGCCGAGGGGTGGGGACCCAGGGTGCACACGGCCTCCCTCCCTCCCTCTGCAGATTGGCTGCCGGCACGTGGTGGACGCCACCCTCCAGGAGGAGGCCTGCTCCCTGGCCAGCCTGCTGGTGTCGGTCACCAGCAAAGGGGTGGTGACCTGCATGAGGAAGGTGGGGAAGGGCAGCCTGGACCCCGAGAGCATCTTCGAGATGATGGAGGTGAGGCGGGCTGGGCAGCGGGCTGTCACCCCTGGGCCCCTCACCCTGGCCCTGTGGGAGGGACCCGGGAGCAGGTGAGGGGCAGCAAGCCCCTGCTGGCCCCGTGTTGCTGCGTTTCTGCGTGAGGGCGTCAGCCTTTGGTCACGTGAAGTCACCGCAGCTCTCAGGTTCGAGGTTCTGTGGTTGCATGGGGAGTTGACTCCTTGGCTTGCTGCCTCCTGTCCATTAGAGGGCGACGAAGGGGCACGGGCTGAAGGGTGGCCGGAGCCCCGCGGAGGCCGGAGCCCGCGTGAGCGTGACGGGCTGTGCTGGTCCCGTCGGCCTCCGCCCTGTGTGCTCGTGGGTCTGTTTCGTCTGCCCGGAAGCCCCAGGGCGGGGCCTGGCTGCTCACCGGTCTCACAGACCGTCTGCCCGCGGCCACCCCGGCTCCCTGGCAGAGCTGCCAGGAGCAGAGCGTGGGAGCTGGCTGTTGCCGTTGGTAACCGCGGCAGCCCCGCACGAGCCCAGCGGTCACTGCGATGTCAAGTGCTGGCGCCTCGTTCTGAGAAGCGATGACTTCTCACGGAAGGCTCCCAGCGCGTGGTGTCTGTTTCTCTCCTTTCTCTTTTCTCTTTATTGAACTTGTGATCCTCAGCCTTCCTTCCGAGGGCTGGGATTACATCCGTGTGCCACCACACCGGCGTTAAATCTTCATATTTCAAAGAGCAGCACAGTCTGGGGGTGATCAGGGGTGCAGTGTGTGCTTGGCATGGCGCAGGCTTCAGCCTTCGGCACCAGAAACAAGCGCCGTAAACCACCCGACCTAGTACAAGAGCAGGACGCGCCTGGCGCAGTGGCGGGCGGCCTGGGGGGCGGTGGCCGGAGGACCGCACGTTGGAGCCGAGCCGGCAGCGGTCGCTGGCGGCACGGGGCTTCTGGCCCGTGTGAGCTCACGGCTGGTCTCTCCCACCCTCCCTGTCCTGCAGACCGGCAAGCGCGTGGGCAAGGTGCTGCACACCTCACTGCAGGACGTTCTGCGCAAGGAGGAGAGCCTGGGGCCCGAGAGGCCGAAGGTGGGGTTCCTGGGGTGACCGGCACGCCCCTCTGGTGGTGGACTCTGTGTTCCTGTTCGCTTTGCCCCGGAGGCAGGGTCCTGAGATGCGCTGTCCAGGCTGGTCTCGAGCTCCCGGACTCCTGCCTGTCTCCCCAGTCAGTCGCTGGTGCAAGAAGCTCGCACCACCGCACCCCACTTCCCTCTTCCTTGTGAACTGCTTTGTATATATATTTTCTGGCCTGTGAATGTAAAATTAAAGTCTATTTTCCGGCCTGCTGCGGCGCGGCTCGCGTTCTTCCCCTTGTGCAGCCCTGCCAGCGCCTGGGAAGACCCGGGGGAAGAGGCTGTGCAGAGGCACTGTGCTGCGGTGAGGAGGTCTTCTCTCCACGTGCGCTCGGGGTCAGGGTGGCAGAGAGGAGTTCCTTGGGCGCGTGCGGTGGGGCCCCGGGCGGGGAGCAGGGCTCGGCCTGCTGTGCCTCGGCCGTGCCTTCCGGAGGTCGGGTGGAGCCCCGCAGTCTGGGCTTCGCGGCCGCTTGGTCCTCAGCCAGGCTTCTTATCACTCCCGCTTGGAAACTGCTTTGTGCTTTGTAAGCGCTCCCTGGGGTTTCCTGAGATTTCGTTTTCTCAGCATTGTGGACGCTGCCATCCGATTGCTCAGCCTGCTGCACCCTGGGAGGCCAGGCCAGGCCAGGCTGCGAGCCTGTGTTCTGCTCCTCCAGGGCAGAGTGGGCTTTGCTTCTCCAAGTGCAGCTAACACTCCTCATTGACCTTACGGCCCGGCAGGAGCTGATGCGTATGGGGAGGACCTCAGCCCCACGCAGAGAGAGGTGCTAGGAGCTCACCACCTGGGGAAGGAGCAGTGTGGGAGCCCTGATTGCCCCTATTTACCGGATTGGCATGGGCAGCCCCTGTCCCCGTGAGAGGAGCAGCTGCCGTGTCTGGGGACAGTCTGGCTTTTGTTTTCCCTTTCCTGTTTCCAGTGAGTGTCCCCGGCAGGACACAGACCTGTCCCCGCTGTGCCCGTAGGGCGACTGGGGCAGTGGCCTCGCAGGGACGCACAGCTGGGGCCTGAAGCGTAGAGGCTGTGGGCCTGGGCAGCCACTGTCCGTGACTGAGCTGCAGGCAGATGAGCGTGTCCTCCCTGCACGGCTCGGCTCAGCCGCGGCCGCCCCGTGGGACCAAGGGAACACTGCAGAGATCTGCAGACCTGGGGGAGCTCTCAGCAGGACCAGGCTGTCTCTGGTGGCCTTCAGGTAAACGTGTCAGAGAGGAGCGCAGCGTTACATAAGCTGCAAGGCGAGTTTGCAGTTTCCGTGCGCCCTGGGCCTGTGGCTGCTATGAACGCAAGCCTGCAAAGCACTAGGCCTGGGGGAGTCTGCGGCTGTCTGCGCTTCCCGCCCTGACGGCGGTGATGGTCTCACATGGGGCCGGCCTGCAGCGCACGGATCTAGACCACAGCAGACCCGGGCAGCCATCCAGCAGAGGGTGCAGAAAGCCTTAGGGACATCCACTCCCGTGCACCTAGGAGTTCGGCTTCTGGGAGCGGGAGCAAAGTGCACAGCCCGGGCCCGAGGGGAGCTCCTCCTGTGTGAGTGCCGGCCGCGGCGGGAGCCCTGTCGGGGCCCCAGCTTGCTCTCTGCGCTGAGCATCTGCAGCCCGGGGCTCCCGGGGACGTGGTGTCCCCTGAGGACGGCACTGTAGAGGCCTCCAGGTGTTGGAACTGTGCCGGTGCGATCAAGCGCCAGGGGCTCGAGAGGATCGGGCCTGCTGTCCCCGCCGGCCCTTCCCGCCTGTGCCCACAGGCCACTCCCAGGACCCCTCAGCACGCCCACCTCGGGCTCTGCCACACGGAGCGTGGGCCCCGCGGTGGCCCGAGGCAGCAGAGCCTCAGTGGGGTCGGCAGGTAGCAACGCCCTGCCGCAGCTGCAGTGGCGGGGAGCCGAGGACCCAGGCCTCCTGCGTTGTCGCCCCGTGTGAGCGGGTGTGCGGGGCAGGGGGCGCGCGTGTCGTGAGGGGTCAGCAGGCGGTGTGGCGTCGGTGGTGGCAGGAAGCAGCTGCCTTGAGGTGCGGCCAGCTGGCACCCAGTTCTCCAGTGGAGCGCGCGGGGGAGAGCGACGGCGCTCCTGTGCCGCGGAGGGGCCGCCTGGAGTGCCGCTCCGTGCAGGTGAACCCGAAGGTGCAGTCCTAGCCGTGTCCTTCGCCACCTGCAAGGGTGGCTGTCGGGAAAGAAGGGGACAGAGAGATAAAGAGAGGGCCTCGGCCCCTCCCTTTCCTCTGAGCCTTAGGGTGAGCAGAGGCAGCCCCACCTCCCTGCTCTAGAGGAGAGCAGCCGCCCTTTCCCAGAGAACAGGCCGAGGCAGACACTCGGGAGAGGACGCTGGCCAGCGACTGCCTTCTACCCCCATTTTCAGACCAGTGGTGGGGTCAGACGTCCACCCGCAGAGAAACGTCCTGCTGGCGGAGAGCCCACTCGGCGGAACGGGCCGTGACTGGGAAATGGGGAGAACGAGGAAGTTTATTACAGTAAAACACACATGGCCGTGAGTCGCCCTCAGAGCCTCCACTCACCTGAGAGACTCATCCCGTCCTTCCCGCCGCGCTCTGCAGCACCTCTGGAGTCCCCTTTCCTGGGTGTCGTTGGCTGTGCTGTCCTGGCTGCCTTGAACTTAGTCAAAAATATTGACCGTTCATGGTCCTTTTGAGTTGGGGAGGAGCAGAAGCATTTCCTCCAATTCCAGCTCTTGTGTGGGGCGAAGTATTTTGGCTGAGATAAATCAACACAGTAAATACGGTCTTAGTACCTGTCAGCAGTGTTTCAAGCTGGGCGTGGTGGCGCACACCTGTAATCCCAGCACTTGGGAGGCTGAGGCAGGAGGATCTCTGTGAGTTCGAGACCAGCCTGGACTATAAAGTGAGCTCAAGGCCAGCCTGAACTGCATAGTGAGACCCTGTCTCAAAAAGAAAAACAAAACTGTTTCAAAAGCCGATCTCTTCAATGGGAGGACAGCAGAAGGCAGTGCGTCCCTGTTTCATGACCCAGTGGAGCAGCAGGTCCTTGGGGCTGCGTTCTTTATGCTGACAACATCGTGCTTACTGCGTCTGGTGCCTAGGGAGGAGCAGGTAGCCAGAAGTCCTAGTAAAACTTGCGTGCACACGGGTGCGACAGGACTGCATGAAGACCACGGCGAGCACCGTGTTGGCGACGCTGGTAGGTGTCTCATGGCACGGGTGCTCTGAGGTGGCCCCTCTGAGCCAGGAGACATTCCGGACCTGGTGCCCACTCCTACCCAGCACGTCCGTCATCAGAGAAGTGCAGCATTTCGGGGGGCTGTGCATGTGGGAGGCACGAATGCTACACTTGGGAGTGTTGCTTCAGCCCACTTACCAAGTAACGTACAGGGCTGCCAGGCGGGCACGGGAGCCTAGAGGATGAGACTTCGCCACCACTGCAGGCGTCCGGCCTGCTCCGTGTGACAGAATTCCCACCGGAGGGAAGGGTGCTGCACAGACTTCGGAAAGTTGTGCGCACCCCCCGGGACTCCTCCAGCCAGGCCACGTGGAGGAAGATGTCACCTGCGAGCAGCTGGCTTTGAAAAGCAGTTCCCGGCCTGCTGCTGCACCCAGTGATGACCTCACCCGAGGCCGGCCACGACCGGAGCTGGCTCTTGTCCCAGTCACCAGCTCATAAGGTTGGGGGGTGCAGCAAGAGTCTACCCAGGCCGGAAGCGTAGACACGGTGGGGAACACGGCGGGGCATCCAGACACCCCCGTCAGCCGCCCCTGTGCACCAATCGATGCCTGTCGTCCACACCTGTGGCCCGGTGTGGAGGCGCTTCCGCAGTGGTGGCTGTCAGTGACAAGGCTGTGACTTCCTGTCCTGGGTCAGACGTGCAGGTTATAGCAGAGGCCGTTCCTGCTCCCACAGCTAGAAACTCTGGGTGCCTTTCAGCTGTCCTGTGTTCAGGCATTTAAAACTCTCTGGAAACAAGAAGACAGCATGGCCTAAAGTTCCAGAGACAGGAGAGACTGAGGCAGCGCTGTGTCACCAGCTGCTCTCTCCTGGGAGCGTGTGCAGATTGGCAGAGGGGTGAGGACCAAGCTGGGTGCAAGGGGAGCCCCAGGACTTCTAGAGGGCACTGCAGGGCTCCCGAGATCATCTGGAGACGGGACCCCAGCACGCACGGGGTCACATTTGCTGCCACTTGGCAAGGGGAGCATCTCCTGCAGGGCCGCGGTGAGAAGTGTAGAACTGGCCCAAGCACGGCATGGGTTCTCCTGGAAGTCCCGACTAGGATGACTTGCTTTCCCCAGGGGAGGAGGGAATAGAGGGGTGGAAACAGGCCATCGCACTCCCTGGGCCAGGGGCAGTGTGGCTGCTGGCGACCGCCTTGCTCCCCTCTTCCCACACTGCTTTGCAGATTCCCAGCTGTGTCCCCACATGACTCCCATTTGCATCTGAAACAGTCTGTAGCGGGACAGAGACCCTCACCCCATTTTAGAGTCTGAGTCTGGAATAACTTGCACAAGGGACACAAGTGTCAGGTGTCTCAGGACTCCCAGCTGTGCTTCCCTGGATAGGGGGCAGGGGTTGAGACAGGGCCTTACTATGCGGCCAAGGCTGGCCTTGAACTCATGATGATCCTCCTGCCTCAGCCTCCCGAGTGCTGGGATTGCATGTGTGCGCCACCATGCCCAGCCACCACTGCTGACATTTAAGGACAAAATGCCTAGGAAAGTCAGCCCCCCAAACGAAGCCTAGCTGTTGCCTTGCTGTCCCCAAGGTCTCCCTAACAGAACATTTACTTGGAGACAAACAGCTCAACCAGATGGCTTTCTGAGCGAAGGTCTCTGGGGTCGTTTCCAGGCCCCTTGGGCTTGGCTTTGACACTGAGGCCGTCAGTCCAGTGTTCTTGGAGCTGTGCACCTGAGATGTGGAAAGTTCTTGCCCCGTGGGCCAGGCCCGCTTCTGCTGACCCGGGGCCAGTGGCGTGAGAGGAAACATCTGTGTGGGAGGTTTCGTGCAGCTCAGGCTGGTGGGGGCGGAGCCCAGGGCCTGTTTTGTGTAACTCAGGCTTCCAACAGCTTGGGAGCAGAAAGGGAAAAGCAAAACACTTGAGCACCAAAATGTGCCTTCTGCGAAGCCCCGATCCTCACCCTCTACCTCCACGCCTGTCACCAAGGTTGTCCGTTGTGCAGGGAGGTCCGTGTGACAAGCCCGGGCCTCAAGGGTGGTGGTGGCGGCTAGACATTTCCTCTCCTGGCCAAAAACCCCGCACATGCAGCCCGGGGCCTGTGGGTCTCATGGAGGGACCAGAGGGCAAGGAGGGCGCTATCCACAGGGCTCCCCAGGGCCACTCGGCCCCACCCCTTGGGTGGGAAGAGGACCTGCACGTTAGTAGCCATGGGCTGTGCTGGAGCCCAGGGAGCCACAGCGCTCCTTTGCTTCTGAGGCCAGGTCTCCTCTGCCCTGGAGCCCCAGGTCCCTGCCCCGGCGCTGACGGGATTTCCTGAGATCAGCTCCAGGAGAGTGGTGCAGGGCTGACATTTAAGGACATTTACGGTAAAATGCCTTGTCCGGGGAGCACATCCCGGAGGAAGGCTGGGGGAGAGGAGAGAAGACCCTGCAGGAAGGACGAAGAAGGCCCTGGTGGCCAGTTCGGGTGATTGCCCCAAGGCCACTGCCAGGGACCCCCGGTGGCGTTCCAGGGGCAACCCTAAGCAAGCACTGGGGACATCAAGAGGGCCAGTAAGGAGGACCTCGGAGAGGCCAAGCCTGCCTGCAGGGCGGGGAGACCTGGGGCCTTCCTGCAGCCGCTTTCTAACGGAGAGGTGGAGAAACAGAGTCGCCTGTTTTTTCTGAGAAGAATGGAGCCCCGGCTGGCCTTGAACTTTCTGACCCTCTGCCTCGGCCTCCCAAGTGCTTGCATGACAGGCCTGCGCCACCACACCCTGACTGTCCCATTTTTTGAGGCTCACTAAAACAATTAAATCACGAAATGCCTAAACAAGGCTACAAAGAGATACGTTCCAAATGCTTGCACTGAATGAAATAGCACCCCTGCACCGCCGCTCCACAGCCAGAGGCTCTCTCCAAAGTGCACCCGATCTCAGCGCCCCAGCCTGGGTCTCTGCTGGCCTTGACGTCCCCTTGCAGCAGGAAGGATGGGTCATGGGGCTGGGGATTTAGCTCAGCAGCACAGCGCCTGCCTGGCAAGAGCGAGGTCATGAGTTCAATTCCTGGTACCTGAAAAAACAAACAAACAACAACAAAGAAGGATGCGTCAGACGGAAGGGCCGCCTTGGAGTCCCTCCGGACTGTATCCACCTTCTGGGTTAAACGTTAGCCCAGGACCGGGAAGCCCAGGTCGCTACACAAGGGGAAAGGTGACCGGGTGACTCAGCTTATAGGGAGTCCCAGACATGTGCCCGGGGGTCTCCTGTGACCCTGGGCTGCCCCCGGCCCCTATCACCGTGCCGTTGACTGCAGATTTGACACACACCCCGTGGGCTTCGGGTGCCATGCCGGCCCCTCCCAGGGCCAAAAGCTGGAAGTCTCCACTGCTCACTGTCAGGAGCCAAACCGCAGACCAAGCCCTCAGGCCCGCCCCAAGCCCTCCGCACCAAGGCCCTGAGCTTCGGGCTCTTCTCCCTGGCCGCCTGCCCTGTGGAGGGGATCTTTGTCTCTTCTCTCCCGGGTACATCACTGGTCCTGGTGCCCTGCTCAAGTCTCTGTGGGACCTTGGGCCTGGGGACCCCAGCCAGTGACACTGTATCTCTAGCTTCCCGGCCCCCCACCCCTCCAGGGGCCCAGGACCTAGCGTGTGGTGTTCACCGGGGGAAGAGCCTTGCATGTGTCCCCACCCACCGCTCTGTGTCCCACAGGAAGACCTCCATGGGCTACTTCTGTCCTGCCCTGGCCTGGCTGCCCTGCCTGCCCTGTGAGGCCCTGCAGATGGCGTGAAGCCCCTGCCTCGGGCCCCTGGGTCCTGGGTGCCTGGCGGAGGGCGTGGGGGACCCGCAGGGCCAGCAGCTCCAAACGCGTCCTGACTGAGCAAAGCCCACTTGGGCTCCCAGCGACGGGATACGGAGCAGCCTGCAGGGGTCACAGAGTCCTGAGTCACCTCACGGAGCTTTTCCAGGGACATCTTCCCAGCACACCTAGGACACGGCCTCCACCCTCAAGCCGGTCCCGGAAGCTTAGCGCTCTGGCTGCCCCGTGCCTGGAGAGCGCCTCCTTCCGGCTTCCTGTCAGCGGCACCAGATGGGCCGAGGCTGGAGGCTGGGCAAGCAAAGGCCCAGGGCAGGAGTGGGGGCGAGGAGGCAGGCGGAGGAAGCCACCCCCACGCCGAGTTCCAGGAACAGGGTCCTGTGGGTTGTGTAAGCGGCAGGCTTGGATCGGTGCCCAAGGGCCCGGCTGGGCCGTAATCCCTCGCCCAGCCCCAGAGGGTGGCGCTCAGGGCCAGGGCTATGCCTAGACCTCTGTCCTCGGCCCCTCAGCCCTGCCAGCCTCCGTCCGGGGAGCTGCAGACGCGAGCTGCCCCCGAGTGGCCTAGATGCGGGAGAGGCCGAGTGACGGGGCTGCGGTGTCTTCACGAGCAACTTTGCAAGGCTGCTGGGAGGCCGGTTCCCGGGGGTGACGGAGGCGGAGTCCGGACAGCTGCTTCTGCATCTGCGCTGTCACCCCCGTGCAGGGCCACTGTCGCTATTCCGGTGCACACCGCCCCTCACCTCGGCCCTGTGCCCTGTGGACGTGCCCCGTCCTCTGCCGTCTGCCCAAGCAGCCCGTTCCAGCCGTTTCTGCCTCACGGGAACCGGCCAGGGCTCTCAAGTGCTCGGGTCCTCCCTTGGGGAAAGTTGTATCTGGAGCCGGGATGCAGGCCAGGTGTGCCAGGGCCTCCACGACAGCCGGGCCGGGTGCCCGCCGGACCTCCAGGGCTCTGCGCCCTCCTCCTGCGCCAGGCTGCAGCCTGCCCCCATGCTCGGGGGCCTCTCGCCCCCCCCCCCCAGGACTCTGCCCGGAGCTGTCTGCTGCGGGGTCAGCACCCTGTCCGCGGCCAGCCCTCAGCCCTGCTCCCTGGACTGCCCCCTCCCTCGGGCTCCAGTGTTCCCTGGGGACACTGCTCCCCGTGCTGGGCTCCGGCTGCACACGGGAGCCGGGGACAAGGACACGGGAGCGGGGATGGGAATGAGGGGGCGGTGGCAGTGGCCCTGCAGCCCCACTCCTGCTCCGGGAGCCCCTGTTCCACAGACAGCTCTTAGAAGACAGGGCTACTGGGCTTGGTGGCGCACGCCTGTAACCCAGCACTTGGGAGGCTGAGGTGAGAGAACTGCCCCAAGTTCGAGGCCAGTCTGGGCTACAGAGTGAGACCCTGTCTCGAAAGTTACAAAACAAACAAAAGTCAGCATGCGGGCAGCGCAGCCCAGCGGCCGCAGGGCCGTTGCCCCTCTGCAGGCTGTTTTGTTCTTTTCTTTCTTTTTCTTGGCACGCCCTGCAGCCTCGCCTTGGGAGGGTTTCCTGGACGAGGTCCTGGTGGCTGCAGCCTTAAGACGCACGGGCCAGGCGGCGTCCCCGCTGCTTCCCTTCAGGCCAGCAGTGGCGGCGGCAGCAGCAGCAACAGCATGGTGCTCCGGGGACCCCAGCTGCTCCTCTGCGTCCTCCTCCTCACCCAGGTTGCCGCTGAGGCGCCGACCTCCAAGCCCAAGAAGGCTGCCAATGTCCGGAAAGGTAAGGAGGCGTTGGCCCCTTCCGTCCCCTCCCTCTACGCCCCTCCTCCTCCCTGAGGAGCTTTGGAGCAGCACCCTGGGGTGGCGCCTTCGGGGTCGTCTAACGATACCTGGGCTGGGGTCCGGTATCCCAAAAGGGTTGCACCTTTGGCAGGCAGCCTGTGTGGACGGCTGAGCCCTGCAGGGGGCGCTACAGGCCGTGCTTGGTGACCCCTGAGCCTCGGGTGCACCCTTATAAAATGGGGGGATAGTTCTCAGGCCAGCTGGACGTGCTGAGATGACGGTGCCTGGCCCTGGACGCCGAGACGCAGAGCAGGAGGGACAGGGAGCTCTGGCCCCATGGGGTGTCATGGCCCTGTCAGACACTCCTGGGCGCGGTGACCTTGGATTTCCAACAGTGAGGTCATCCTGCTGTGTGGATACAACATCAGGGATGCCATGGCAACAGCCCCAGCTGTCCCCCAAGGGCGGCAGGAAAGAGAGGGGGCGTGGCCGCCCAGGCCTCTGCACTGGGCTGCCAGCAGGAATGGGAAGGGTTTTTTGGGTTTTTTGAGACAAGGTCTTGCAGTGAAGCTCAGGCTGGCCTTGAACTCACCACAATCGTCTTGCCTCAGCCTCCTGAGTCATGGGATTACAGGTGTGCACTGTCACGCCCAGGACAAGATGGGCAGATCCCGGCACTGACAAACCCCAGACCTGGGAACGTGACTCAGGACCTGCCTGGTGTGTGTGAGGCCCAGCCCTTCCCCAGCACTGCAGGAAAGAGAGTCATTTCCTAGGTTGAGTTTACAAAGCAAGCAAAGAAAACTTCAAGACAGCGGTGGACTCTCTGGTGGTATTTGCTTGGAAAAAGGGATTTGTGCAAAATGATATCTTTATGGTATACATACAGAATTTTCCAGAAGTTGGTGACAGTGATTATCTATGGGAAGATAAACAGAGGCTTGGGTGGCTGAGGCAGGAGGATCACTGAGAATTCAAGGCCAACCTGGACTACATAGCAAGATCCTGTCTCAAAAACTAAAAACAAAAATAAGGAGAAGAAGTCCCACACATGGCTACGTCCTCATGAAAACCAACACTGAGGGACGTTCTTTGGGAAGGGCATGGCTTCAAGACCAGAGCCAGGGCAGGGTGTGGGAGCCCCACGCGGCCCCGCTGGTCTCTGCCGGGCGCCCTTGCGCGGTGCCCGACTCACACCCCTCACATGGCACCCTGGGCAGTGCGTCAAGAGACCGGGGACAGAGGTAGCGGGAACCCAGAAGCGGAGGCACAGGCGGGGTGGGACGCACCTCAGCCCGGCCCAACCTCCACCCTTCCTGTGTTGCCCCCACCTGGTATTTCTGTCCTGTGTCTGCCACGAGGCCCTGATCCCGCCCCTGGGGGACACGGGCTTCACACAACCTGCCGCCCCCTCTACCAAGCCCTGGGGTTGCAGAGGGCTGGGGTCCCCTCTGCAGCCTCTTGGTCCCAGCCCCGGGCCGGCCGCCCTAGATCCTCTGAGTCTCCTCACCGTGACCCGGTGTTACGAAAGGAAGCGCTCCCCACGTGTGCAGGCAGGCGGGACCCAGAGCCCCCTCGAAGGCTGAGAAGCCTCCTTAGGATGGGTGTGCCGAGGCGCACCTGTCCTCCCAGCACTCCGGAAGGCTGAGGCAGAAGGATCGCCAAGTTTGAGCCCAGCCCGGGTGAATTGGGGAGACTCTGACTCAAAAATACAGGAGGGCGGGGGGATGTAGCTCAGAGTGAAGGCTGAGTTCAGTCCTCCGTGCAGCAAAAATAAGAAGCCTGGTCCAGCTCTGCCGAGGCCCTTAACGGGGGGCGGCGTTTCTACCCCGTTTTCTTTCTTTTCTGAAACAATTCTACTGGTAGCTCCGGTATG